CGTCGTTGCCAAGCGACGAAAGCCCAACCCCGATGGCAAACACCGGGGGGGCGGTGGGGGGTGCGGATGAAAGTTCGACACACACACAACATATGTCGCCTGGAAACAAAGGTGGGCGGACCCGCGGGCCTCAATGCAAAACCGGCTTTGTTGTGTACTGCCTCAGACGCCCAAATATTGTTTCCGCTCCTACGACTAACACCACCTAAACGAAGACAAGAAGCCGTGATGCCATCCTCGCTTGCCGTCTCCCCTCGAATTCTTCTGCCGAACCCCGACGCACCCACATAACCCTAACCCCAACTCCAGGGACCCCAAGATATCAACAATGGCACCACCATGACACGAAAACAATTACATTCCGCAGACATGGCCTGGCGCTCATGCCTCCATGGAAGGAGATGGGGCCACAAGCCACGCTTCGCGAACTACGAAGAAGCCTCCCTCAACCCTTAACTTCTTCCTCCAGCATGGCGTACCTGGTTGGCCGAGAAGGAAGCGCAGAAACACGAGCATGACAATGCACCTCTGGCCGGGAAATCTATTTGGTGTATGCGTAGTCTTCAACCATTGGCGTGCAGGGGAGGTGGTATGCCTCCGCAGAAAAACTATGGGACCACAGATTTCCTTGAACTTCCCGCACTACACACATGCAGCTCTTGTTTGAGGGGAAGGGGGGGACAGCGGAGCGCACCCCTTTTCCGTTTAACCGTGTTCTCCCGATAGTTAGTTCGTTGGCCAAGACCACCCTTGAGCCTCGAACAAGAGTATGAAACGCTTTTTGGTCCCTTGTCAATGGCTTTTAAAAAAATAACCCACAACTCCTCGTCGTGGGACGCGTCAAGTGGGCCGGTGGCAACACAATTTCCTATCAATACCTAAAAGCACGCGGAGGAGGGGGAGGAAGAGGAGGATTGGGATCGACATCAGGCAGTTTGTCAATGTGGCCACCGACAACCACTGAGCATGCCAATGTTGCCCCCGGCTCCACCACCGCCTCCATTGCACTTCAAAACACAAGATCCCTCGTTTGGGTAGATCGCCTGCCCCCCCCCCGCTCCCCTCACAGGTGAAGGGACTAGTCTAGTGAAAAAGAAGAAAAAGCGCATTTGGGACGAAGTAGTGCAGAAGGCCAACGGAGGCCTGGAGGGGAACGTCAAACAGATATGGGAAGGGATAAGTGGAATGGTCAAGAAGACCGCGCAAGAGGGGGATACAGGGGTAGCAATTTTGCGAGGTGTGAACGGTGGACTAGTCAGCAGTGTGAAGGGAAAAAGGGGAGTTCTCGCAGGACAAAACAAGAGACTTGGAGTGCCCTCGGAGAATGAAGCTTTTTGACCAATTGTTTAAGAAGGAGGTGGATGCATGGGCCCAAAAAGAAGGGACATCGAAGGCAGACGTTGGGAACGTGGAACCAGAAAAGGAGTTCACTGAGGACGAGGTTGAGGCGTGTGTGAACAAGCTGAAGTGCCACAAAGCAGCAGGAGCGGATGGGATAGTCAACGAGTTCATGAAGTTTGGGGGGAAGGGGATGATCCAGCTGATGGTACTGCTATACAATTGGGTGTGGAAAAACGAGTATACGCCAAGTAGATGGAGGGAAGGAGTGGTTGTGAACTTGTTTAAGAAAGGAGACAAGACTGACCCAGGAAACTACAGGCGGATCACACTGTTCAGCACGGTAGGAAAAGTGTTCTGTAAGCTGCTGAACGATAGGACAGTGGGAGTATTGGAGAAGGAACATAGCATTAGTGAGGGCCAGGCAGGTTTCCGCAAGAAGAGGGGGTGCGTAGACCACGTGTTCACGGTAGGGAGAATCATCCAAGGTAGAAAGAGGGCGGGAAAGCCGACGTACTGCTTCTTCCTGGACGTGAAAAAGGCATACGACACCGTATGGAGAAATGGGTTGTGGAAACAACTGTCCAAATACGGGATCAAGGGGAAAATGTGGAGAGCGCTGAAGAAGATGACAGAGTATACGAAAAGCGCGGTCATGCTAGGCGGAGAAATGTCAAAATTCTTCGACATTGAGCAGGGGGGTCCCACAAGGTTGCACGCTGTCCCAACATTGTTCCAGGTGTTCATCAACGATCTGTTGGAAGTCGTAGAGGCAGTCCGGAAGGGAGTAAAAGTAGGGGACACGGAAACGTCGGTTTCAGGAATGCTGTTTGCGGATGATTTTGTCGGTATGTCGGACACCCCTGAGGGACTGCAACTGCAAATTGACGCGGCGAAGAAGTTTACTGATAAGTGGAGATTGTCTGCCAACGTTCAGAAGAGTGCCGTCATGGTATGCAACGAGAACAAGGAGGAACCAGTAGAACATAGATGGAAGTGGGGGATCGAGGAGATTGCAGTAGTGGACCAGTACACATACCTTGGAGTAGAGATCGCAAAAGACTGCTCGTGGAATGCACACATGTCCAAGGTAGCGGAAAAGGGCAAAGCACGAGCAGGGAAGCTGCACCCAATACTCGCAAACCGGCACCTCGATACACGCATCAAATTGACGGTTTTGAAGAGCGTAATCGTACCGCCGCTAGAGTACGCCGGAGAAGTATGGGAAGGAAATAAGAAGGTACTGATAGAACTCGAGGCCGCGCAGATGAAAGCAGCAAAAATCATCCTAGGATGCTCTAAGCGCACAAGTGATGCAGCCGTCAGGGCAGAATTGGGGATCCAATCCCTTCGGTCGGGAAGAGACGCGAGGAAGCTGACATGGCAGTATCGCATGTGCGGGATGGGAGAGGAGAGGTTGCCGAGAATTGTATGGGAGGCGAAGTGGGCAAACAAAAAGAGGGGTAGACAACCCACGGAATGGGTCAAGGTTGTAGAGGACGTATGGAAGGGGCTCGACATCGACGAAGATGAAACGCTGGAAACGGAGGGTCTACAGGGGTTCAAGGAGAAGATATCTGTTGTTTGTGCCGAGTGAGAAGAACAGAATCTTTGGAAAGAATTCAAGGATAAGGAGGGTCTAGAAGTGCACGGAATGTTGAAGGAAGGAATAGGGTCT